TTAGTAGTGGCGTGCTTGCCTAGTATGGGTTCAGTCTTAGCACAAAAACCGATGAGCTAAAAAAACTACAAAGACAGCACTTGGGAGGCAGAGGCAGGCGGATCTCTGTGAGTTCAAGGCCAGCCTGGTCTCCAAAGCGAGTTCCAGGAAAGGCGCAAAGCTACACAGAAAAACCCTGTCTCGAAAAAACCAAAAAAAAAAAAAAACAAAAAAAAACTACAAAGAAAAAAACAGTATCAAAATAAGTTTATGTACATATCAGTTACATAAAATTACAGCAATACTTACAGTATCTAAAAACTTCTCTATCTACCCTCAAAAAGCTTAGCTGTAACAGGGTCTAGCTAGGCTCACTATTGGCCTGGTGACCCGGATGGGGAAGGCAAGCTCAGCAAAGAAAAAGTTTAACAAAATTTTGTTCTATCTTTCCAGCATTCTTCATATTCCTCTAAAAACCCCTTTTCAAGGTTACGATGAACTTGGTGCTGGCAGGGAAGGAGATAAAAATTTAACAGAAAACAAGGGCCTGCTCTCACTTAATCAGGGTTCTATCAGAGCAGTGCTCAACAAAACCCCTAGGTCAGCCGTTCCCAGCCTTCCTCATGCTGTGACCCTTTAATACAGTTCCTCATGTTATGATGACCCCAACCATAAAATTATTTTCATTGCTACTTCGTAACTAATTTTGCTACTGTTATGAAGCACAATGTAAATATCCATGTTTTTCAATAGTCTTAGGTGACCCTTGTGAAAGGGTCATTCAACCCCAGAGGGCTGTGACCCACAGGTTGAGAACCACCGCCCTAGGCTCAGCACCAAGAATACTCAGACTCTACTTCCCCCACCCCCCCCAACACACACACACACACACACACACACACACACACACACACACACACACACACACACACACACACACACACACTACAGAGCAGGTGTAGCCTCTGAAGAACAGGAAAGGACTGGTTTCCTCACCCACAGGCTTAAAGCCAATCAGCCATCAGCATGGAGGCATGTATGATCACCAAGGCAGGCTGCAGAGTCACTTCTACACAGAGGTGTATTAACAGAACACACAGAATGACAGCCTCATAAAACAAAAAGGGGAAAAAGCCGCTATAGCTTAAAGAAACCAGGTCAGGTTTAATGAGGAGCAAGGCAGACTTCCCCTTTCCTATCAGCCTGCTTGGCTTGCTCGCTTTTTCCAAGAACCTGCTACCATAAACACACTTTGTTCAGAAGGATGGATAAGGAATTAGGCAATGAATATAAGGAAATAGGAAGTAACCCATCAGACAGTTTTTTTCTTCCTTTGCTTGAAATAGAAATCATTAGTTTCTGCAGAAGCACCTGCAGGCCAAAATTACTTCATTCTCTGCAGGAGGAAAAGGGTTAATAGAAGCAGCACCCCTGTGCACAGCAGGGCAGCAGGGCAGCCTGGGCTCACACCTGTCCTCCCCCCTCCCCTCCCCCCAGCTCCTCCACTCATTGCTTCCTGTCTTTCCTTCCTTCTTTTTATTCCCAGGCTGGGAATGCCCAGTGATGTCTGTCCTATTTCTGGGCAGATGAAAGGCAGAGCTGCAGAAACGGCTGGATTTTTCTCTAACATTTCTGAATGTTTCAAGTCAGAACCTGAACAGCGAAAGAAAAGAAAATCTTTGAAAACAGCTTCAATCACGTCCCACAATCACAAACAAATATCCAATGGCTAACCCTCAGCACTTTTTTTTCTATCTAAAAGAATAAAGAAGTAGGTGAAAAGAAAAAAATGTTAAAAATTATTATTCAGTGGATTTCACTGCTGTTGGCTATTTGGGTGCTATTACTAATTCCTAAACAGAAGGGTGTTTATCATAGATTAACGAAGATTTCAAAGCTACCTGCAAAGGATGCTTAAAGGTTTGCCTGTTCCCTACCAGCATTCTCCATTCTTCTTTGATAAAAGTATAAAAACTAAATCCATCCGTTCATTCACTCACTTATTCATTCATTCATTCCACCTACATCACTGGGTGACTCCTATGCCTGGTGTCACGAGACAGGAAAGATATGCCAAATCATGAAATCACTTTGATGATTATATGAGGATCAAATTATTTAGAAAAATCGTTAAGTTGGTTGCCTTTAAGCATCTCTAAAATTATGATTTTAAAACTCAGCTTGATTTGGTGATAGAATGCTGCATGAATTGTTGAAGTGTTTCTGTTCTATTCTTGATTCAAGTAACAACAGAAATAAAAGCCTTCTCTCAGAGCCCTGGCATTCTCTTTTCTACTCTATTCAATGCCGTCAACTTCTTCCATTTCAATGTTAACACCAGTTGGTAATCAAGCCAATCTGTCCCATGTGATCACTGGAGCCTATTCTGTCGGGGCTTGCACACACATTTCCACAAGTAAGTATCTTCTGTGAGAAAGATGTGAACTATCGCGTTTGGTGGTTCTCCCAGGCTCTGGTGGGTACAGGAATAAAGGAATGTCAGAACAGCTACTCAGGCTTCCAGAGACTTCATTTCTTTCTTTCCGCCTTGGTGCCGCCAGGGCCATGTGTAGGGGCTACCATATGGCAACATGGGCCCCATATGGCTCCATCTCACTAAGAGAGGCTCTCAAGAACGTAAAAATGCTGCTGTATACTTTTATTGCAGCCCCTTCTCGTTCCCTCCATCTGTCTTCCATATGGCTTCTGCACCTCCATTAGGCCCTCAGACATGAGTCTCTAGTAGGAGACTCTGTCAGCATGACCTAGGTGTCACTCACCTCTGCCAGCGACCAGGGACCACTATTACTTTAGAAGTCCAATTCATGTAGTATCCAAACTAGAACAAACCATAACCACTTCTCTTCAATTTGAATACATGTATTTTATATTTATATCTTTAAGACTTATCAACAAAAAACACATGGCAGCTCTCTCCTTGAAGTTTCAAAGAGCCATGCCATTTCCCCATAAGATCCTCTCATATACACACATCAATCACTGTCTTCAAAGTCGGCTTTTTCATTTTCATGAAATTCTCCTTGAGAGGAAAAGTTATTACTTTATATTTTTTTCAAATGTCTTTACAAAACTCTGAAGAAGCACATGTGTCCATGTGTCCTTCCCTGAAATTGAATAAATAGTAAGAAATCAGGCGAGGCTGACCCAGACAAGCCTCTTCCTGAACCCCCTACATTAGGGCTGAGGGTCTATCCAATGTTTCCTGATCCTCTTTGTTTTTGTGTGTTTGCCTGAAGAGGCACATGTGACCCTATGGTCAGTATAACTGAGAAGAAAGCAGAAATAAATGTCACTAGATAACATGCATATTCCATTATAAATGGGAGGCAACTCGTGGCATCAGAGACATGGAGGTGACAGGTCATTTCCAGTATCAAATGGTGACCCTGCTAGTGAGTTCCTGGACCGTTTCTCTCAAAAGTAAGGAGAGCAGGCTGCAGGTATAACTCAGCAATGGAGCACTTCCTAGCTTGCTGGAAGCCCTGGGCTTGATCCCGAGAAGCACAAGAGATTAAAAGAAAGGAATATACAGACTGGGTGAAGTTATAAAGAAGTGTGTGTAAGGGAACCAAATTATTATTAAATACTTTCTGTGCTTACAATGTTAAGAAGTAGAGAAATCATTCCACCTCTCCATGGCTCCAGCCTGCCCTTTCTGTGACAACTTTCCTGTATTCTCTGCCCAACAACCTATGGCAATCAGCACATGGGGAACTGATCTCATGATGACATCTGTAGGCAGAGCATTTGAATGTTGCTCAAAGGCAAAAGGTGTGAATTTTCAGACATTCAAAATAACCCAGTGAGTGCCACAAGGATACATATATTTTATTGAAAATAGCCTATTTTGTGTTTATAAGCAATAACTTACTCTTTCCCAGTTGTATGCAAAATAAATAGTTGACTTTTAAATTAAACAATGATATTGTAAGATACATGGCTGGGTCATACAGTTATTTTTTTAAACCTATTCACATATTTCATACATCATTGCTTCTCTTATAGTCCTTTATAAAGCATGGCTCATAGGCAGACAGAACTACTGGGACACTAAGGAACCTGCTCCTGGGCTGGCATTTCAGTCTCTTCTGTGTATAAAACCCAAGCAGTTACTCTGCACTAGTACAACCTACAGCTGCCTTTTCTGGATGCAATCAATAAACTGCACACTGTGGGGGTCCCAGGTGCCTTTGTAGCAACAAAAACCATGTATGGCAGTCATCAGATCAAGTTGCAAACTTCAGGCTACTGCCAGAAGCCTGTTCACTGGGTTAACTGCTCTAGGCTGAAACAGACTACAAACGCTGGTTAAGAGAAGCAACCACTCTTCCTTCTGTGGGAAAAGAAATTACCAGTATGACATCTATACAGAGAGTAACAGTGTTTCCAAAGGTGTACAAAGCTGAAAGCTTTGTCATTTAGTTTCAGTTGAATAAAATGACAAGATGTCTGAGCAACAAGGGTTTATCTCTGGTCAGGGAAGCTATGTCACATGGGACACTCCAACCCTTACTCTGGGCAAGCAGTTTGTAACCACTTGGAGAGGGGCAGAAGTTGTTGTTGCGAGGAGGGGTTGCAGAAATTGTTTACATTTGGGCAGGAAAGCTGCTCTCAGCACCCTGCAGCATTTCCTACAGACCAGGTGAAAGCCTGTTGGTGGCCCCCTCCCCTTATGCTGCTTTTCATAGCACAGGAGCTATTGAATACTGGCTTCCTGCCAAGTGGCTTTCCGTGAGATTTGGCAAAAATTACCAACCACACACATTTGCCTTCACCTCATTTTCTCTCCACAGTTTCTTCCCAGGCAGCTGCTCAAGAACTACATGTGTCCATTTACTGGATTCAAACAAACAGCATAAGCTTAGGGAAAGCCACACAAAGCATATGCTTTCCCAGCCCATCCTGATTTCCCAAACAGTGGGAGCCTCACCCCTGGGGATACTGACAGGGTACCAGCTGCTGCTGCTTTGGGGGGCAGGAGACCCCCCACCCCAGCTTACCTGTTTCTTTGTGCTGGACCTCCGCCAGGTGCAAGTCATTCAAAAGATGCTCCAGGATCTTCTCCGGGGTCCCGGACACCACCACGTACCTGTCAGAGAGCAGAGAGTCCACTGAGTCATCCTCAGTGGAGGACTGTGAGCGGCTGCTCCATTCATCGTCCTCATCTTCCTCGTCGATGTATTTGAAATAAGGCACATCGAAGGTAGGCAAGGGCAGCTGGCGCCCAGGGAGCGCCTCGGAATCTTTCCTCTCTAGATGGGGGTCAAAGACCCGCAGGCGGGCGCTGCCCATTGTGAACGGTGCCTAACAAAGGCATCCCCTAAAGGCTAAAAGATCTTGCCATCCTCGTCCTTTCCCTGGGAACTGAGTCCATCTGGCTGCTAAGAGCTCTGCAGTCAGCTAGAACGCTGGAGAGGCGGGGAGAAAAGAGGGAGGGGGGAGGGAGGGAGGGAGGGAGGGAGGGAGGGAAGGACAGGCAGCAGCGGAGCGAGCGAGCGAGTGAGAGGAGAAGGGAAGGAAACAGCGAAGGGAAGGAGACCCAGAGCCAGCCTGGGCAGCGGGACGCTGCTCACCTCGCGGGGACCCTCACCTCGCGTCGTCGCTCTCCGCACTCCCCGAGGCAGGGGCTGGGCCACAGCCGGCTACTTTCTTCAGCACCAGCACGCTCTGGCCTTGCTCTTTCACCTGAACCGTGGTCACTTCATCATCTTGCTTTAATTGTAGATCAGAGTGATGGATGGGAGAAGGAAAGGGGAAGAGAAAAATCAAAAAGAAGCCAACTAGCGTCACCTCGTTTCTTTAAAGAGCTGGAATGAACTAGGGATGTGGTCAGGCATCTAATACCACAGAATCTAGGCTCAAGGTCTCTGGAAACACAAAAAGCCTTAGAGACATAAAGATGCTAAAGTAAAGTGTGCGTGTGCGTGAGAGAGAGAATGTGTGCAGGGAATTAGGATTTGAAAAGTTTATTTTTAAAACTACCTTCAGAAACAATTTGACTTAGAAAATAGAAAGTTTAAAGTTTCAAAATGTACAGCATACTAACTGCATTGGTACTACTGTCTTCTACCTGGTTAATGCTGCTTAAACATTATTAAAACCAGAAAGTCACAGCATAACTACTATTAAACACCAAGACAGTGGGTAAAGACTTGCTTTAAAAGGTGGGCAAACGGCTACCCATTGAATCACTCAGGTCAAACCCCACCAGCTCTCCTGGACACACACACACACACACACACACACACACACACACACACACACACACACACACAGAGACAGACAGACAGACAGACAGACAGAGAGAGAGAGAGAGACAGAGAGAGGAGACAGAGAGAGAGAGAGAGAGAGAGAGAGAGAGAGAGAGAGAGAGAGAGAGCGAGCGCCTTAGATCTGGGCTTTTAAATTTATCAGGCACTTGTTTTACCTGAGTACAAGCAAAGATGGATGTCTTTGTCTAGTTAGAACTCATCTACTCATCTAGACTAAAACCCCGATGCCACAGGCCCCTGCACTGACTTTCTTCATGTCTGTCCCTTTTTAAAAAGGCGAGAAGCTTAACCATCATTCATTTCTGCACACACAGCTTCCACAGTGCAGAGCCAGGGCCTGCCCTGGCTCAGTCAGGGGGTGCTCCCTGCTGATCCAGCAGTATGGGCCCAAGTCTGAGCCATGGACACAAACTTTCAGGGCATTTGCTGTCACAGTCCCAGTGTGCAATACCCAGCCACAGGAAGACTGCCAGAAAAAAAAAAGAACTATAAGAGGCATATAAGAAAATCCAGCTTCTATGTTGCTGATGGCTTGGGAAAAAAAGCAAGAAAAGTTGAGAGCAGGTAGGTTTCCTCTTAAAGATGATGTCAACTCTTTGCAAAGGAAACTTGTACACTTCTGCTACCGACAAGACCCTACCTATAATTAGGTACAGAGACAAAGAAGGACATCCTGCCCTCCTGCATGGATAAAAGTGCCATCTCCAAACGCCTTATGATTGCTTTCATAGACCCATCATGGATAGCAGTGTATTTTATTCTCTTTTTACTAGACTAGAAAGGCACTGATACCACCATAACTGCTAAGCAAATTAGTCATACGACGGTGACCTCAATGCCTAATTTCTAAGAGAATGTAAGTCTTCCTGGATTTTCTTAAAAACAAACAATATTGGTCATTCTAAACAGCAATATAATTGCATGATCATTCTTTTTAAATCTCTTACTGGCAAATAATTTTGCAATGTAGAACTGATGTATTATGTTTCAGCAAGGTCAGACACATGGTGTCTGTGGCAATTAATGCTGGATATTCATTGTTCAACTCCCCAAGGAGGCCAGTGTGACTCCTGTAACATGAATACCAATGTGTAATTGCTATCTCTCATTTCTCCAAAGCCGTTCTTTTGTTATCCGTGTGGCTGAAGTGAACTAAAGTGGCTGGAGAGAGGGGCATATATGGACCCAAAAGGGGGAGGGGAACAGAAGAAGGCTGGGATGAGACACACGGAATAAGGCAAATAATTCTATTATTTGAAAGAACAGATGTGAAAAGACAAAATCTTTCCCTGGCTTCCTCTAATCGTAAGCCAATATTCATTTTATATGAGCTGCTGTCATTCTGAAGTACGTTTTACATCCTATGTGCACATGATATATGGCATTATTAACTTTTGCAGGCTGCACACATACATATGGATAGGCAGGGTTTCTCTAATGTCTGTGTAAGTGATATGTATTACATGGCTGTGCACACAGCAGTCATACTTTACTGGGCAGGAGAATAGCTGAATCAGATTGATGTACTATCAATAGCATCTTATGTCATTGTAATAGGTTCCATTTTGAAACCTGTTAAAAATAAAGAAGAGAAAAAGCAGAAAAATCAATGAGTAAGGGAAGATGTAAATCACAGGAAACCTGCTGTGAAAACACAAGAATTCTGTGTAGTACAACCATCCATGGAGGGGGTTAAATTAATGCTTCCTAATGTGGGCACCTTTCTCTATTTTGTCTTCCACAAAAAGAGGAAGACATAGAACCACTGAGGTTGTGGGTATGAAATTTTTATTTCAGTACTAGGACTAATGATGGAAAATACGTTCAATGACAGACTGTCCACAAAACAGAAGCACTGAAGCTCCTAAGTGACAGTCATTTCTGTAACAAATAATGAGGTCCTCCTGTGGGTAGGACACCCCGTTGGACACTAAATGGCCAGCAAAGATGAACAAGCCAAGCTTTGCTGTACTCTCAGTTAACTGGCGCCATGGAAACCCAAGTACAGCTTGGCGCACACCCTAAAGCAGTGGTTCTCAACCTTCCTCATGCTGAGACCTTTTAATAAAGTTCCTCATGTTGTGGTGACCCCCAAGCATAAAATTACTTTCATTGCTACTTTATAACTGTAGTTTTGCTACTGTTATGAATTGTAACGTAAATCTCTATGTTTTCTGATGGTCTTAGTCAACCCTTTTGAAAGGATCATTCGATCCCCAGAAGGGTCTCAACCCACAGGTTGAGAACCACTACCCTAAAGTGTTGCTAAGTGCAGGGGACAGTTTGGCAGTCAAAGGTAACTAAGTGGCCTGAGAGGCTGAGCATGCTGTTAAACAGGACAAGGGTCTACAGAGGAATGATGTTCAGATCAAAGAGGTGATGTTTTAGTATTGACAGGACAGAGTACTGCAGATGTTTACCAGGCAGTTGGAAGGAAAACACTGTTTTCTGTACAAAGGCCAAGGATAGAGACAAATTTGTTAAGAATCCAAATTTTGGCAATTGATAATGTTAAGGGAGAACCGAAAAGTGGGCAAACTATGAAATGGGATTTAATGAGAAAAATAGAGTAAGAGATGACGAGGGATAGGAACAGTCTCAGGGAAAGTACTCAGAGATGATGAGGAACAGACCCCGGAGGAACCAGAAGGAGAAAGGGAGCAGTGTCAGGAGGTCCAAGGAGGGGCCTGCCATCCTTGAAGTTCAAACTGGCAAGCCCAGGGAAAGATCGGCTGGCATCACTCATGTTGGGGCAAGAGGTAAGAAGAAGCTACAGCCTGGGTGCTCTGGAAGCTGAGGCCGGAGGATCACATGTTCACGCCAACCTGGGACACTTACCAAAGTACTGACTACAACTTTGAAAAGGGGCCTAGATTATAATTCAGTGGTAGAGAAACTCTGAAGCTCTGCATTTAATCCATAGGTGGGGGAGGAGAGAGAGGAGGAGGGGGGGCACGGAGGAAGGGAGGGAGGGAGGGAGGGAGGGAGGGTGAAGAGAAGTACTGAGTAAAGGAGGAAGGTGGGAAGGAGGTACAACCTGAGAATTCCAATATATAGTCCTGGGGCAACCTGAAGAACCCCAGCTAAGAATGGGGAGTAGGAACAAAGAACACAAACATAGGACCAGGCTACAAAAGAGACTTCTTCCTTTCAGAGAGAATCCACCGCTCAGTGAAACAGAAATAAGGAAGCTGGAGAGATCACACGCAATGGTTTCCATCTTAGTACTGAGGCGGCTTCTGGAGGAGGGGTGTGGGGTGTGGATGTAAAAGTGGCCTCAGGGATGCAGCAGGGAATGAAGCAGTCATGAAGAGAAGGATCGCCTGGCAGCTTCATGAACTGCTGAGGCTAGAAAACACATGCGTTCGTGGGTCTATGGTCTTCTGCTTTAAGTGCTCAGGAGCCTTAGAGGAAAATAGTGACTGATGAGGCCCATCCCGGGTAAGAGACAGCAATCAGCGGGTGGGGAGAGGACCTAGGGCTCAAGCACGTTAGGAAAATGGCCCTTCACCACAGAGTGTCTGCCTGGCTATGGAAGGGGAAGATCAATCGTGAAAACTGAGGGGCTGCTGACTGTCTAACACACGGGCCAACAGCGTAGGCTTGAATCAAGGTGGCAACGGTTCAGTGTAAACAGTTCTGAGCAGTGAAAACCAGGGGAGGAACAGAGGCCCTGGAGTGACACATGTGTTTCGGGGTGGGTCCTAGGTTCCAGATATACAGCATCTACAATGCTGACAGTCCCCAAGTGGCTAGTGCACTAACAGCATCTTTAGTGTGAGTATTTAATCTTCCATTCTTGTTTCCCGAAGCAGCTTGAGCAGGTCCAGAGCTACAAAGGAAGAAGGCAGTCTTCCTTTACTTAAGACATACCCCTTTCCACACACTCACCTGAATTTATGTTAATGAGGTCACACTGGGAAAATCACCAAATAACCACCTGCTCAGAGGGTTGGGGACTCACAGCCCCTGTCCCCACCTCCAAAGGTCTCACTGGTCACCAGTGGCCAATGAATTAATCAATCATGCCTACACAAAGAAGTCTGTATAAAAATCCCCAAGAGATTTTTCAAGGGGTTTCTTGGATAAGAGTTCATCTACCTGTCCAGAGGGCAGCGCATCCCAGCTGCACAGAAAGGGGGCTCTTGTACCTGGGGCCCTTCGAAACCTTGTCCTCCATATTTCGTTGCTTTTCATTTGTGTCCTTTAAAATATTCTTTACAATAAACTGGTAAATGTGTTTTCCTGGGTTCTGGAGTCACTTTAGAAAATCAAATTAGCCAAAGGGGGAGGGTTGTGGAAACTCCAATTTATAGCCAATAGATCAGAAGCATGGGTAAAATAACCCAGAGATTGTGATTGGCAACAAAACCTGGGGCAGTCTTACAGAGTTCAGCACTCAGCCTGTGGGATCTGATGTCCCCGGTAGACAGTGTTGGA